TTCCAAGTATGGATCAGCCAGCGAGTGGCAGATGCGCAACGTTTTGCCACCACCACTTACCGTTGCCCTGATTGCCCAAAATACCGACACCGATGGCGATATCCCCAAGGACTATGTTTTGAAGAGGCAAGCCCTGGATTCCCTCGTTGAGTCGCTTAGGTCGCTTCTCAATTGGTCTCATCCAGGGCGCCCAGAGGTCATTACCACGGGAACGGGCATTTCCGAAAGACGGCCGTCAAGCGATGAGATCCGGGAATCCATGGACCCTTCGATTATGGGCGAGTCCCTGTCCCGTTTAGACACCCCGACCATGCCATCGACACCGCTGCTTGACGATGACCCCGACCAGCTGGAAAAGGAAAAGCAGAGGAAGACGGCTCTCGGAAACGCTATCCGCGTGTTCAACTACAAGCCCAAGAACGGCATCAAGTTGTTGTTGAAGGAAGGCTTTATCCCCGAAGATACGCCCGACGCCATTGCCAAGTTCTTGATCAGCGAGGAGAGGCTGGACAAGGCCCAGATCGGCGAGTACCTCGGTGAGGGTGATCAGAAGAACATTGACATCATGCACGCTTTCGTCGACACCATGGACTTCACCAAGAAGCGCTTCGTGGATGCCTTGCGCCAGTTTCTTCAGGCTTTCCGCTTGCCCGGTGAGGCCCAAAAGATTGATCGTTTCATGCTCAAGTTCGCCAACCGATACATGCTGGGTAACCCCAAGGCCTTTGCCAATGCTGATACCCCTTATGTGCTGGCGTACTCCGTCATCATGCTGAACACGGATCTCCACAGCAGCAAGATTGTCAGGCGCATGACCAAGGAGGACTTCATCAAGAACAACCGCGGTATCAACGATAACGCTAATCTACCGGACGAGTACCTCATCAGCATCTACGACGATATTGCCAACAACGAGATTGTCCTCAAGAGTGAGCGAGAAGCGGCAGCTGCGGCAGGAACTCTTCCAGCACAGTCAACCGGTCTGGCTGCTGGACTTGGCCAGGCCTTTTCCAATGTTGGTCGTGACCTGCAGAGGGAGGCATATGCTCAACAGTCTGAAGAAATCGCCATTCGATCGGAGCAGCTCTTCAAGGACTTGTACCGTAGTCAACGGAAGAATGCGCAAAAGACGAGCGGCATCAAGTTCATCCCTGCTACCTCGTTCAAGCATGTATCGCCCATGTTTGATGTAACGTGGATGTCCTTCTTCTCGGCCCTGTCAAGCCAGATGCAAAAGACACATAACCTGGATGTGAACAAGCTATGTCTGGAGGGCATGAAGCTTGCGACCAAGATTGCTTGCTTCTTTGACCTCAGCACCCCTAGAGAAGCCTTTATCTCGGCGCTCAAAAACACGGCCAATCTCAACAACCCCCAGGAGATCCAGGCTAAGAACGTTGAGGCCCTCAAGGTGATTCTTGAGCTGGGACAGACAGAAGGCAACCTCCTCAAGGAGTCGTGGAAGGATGTTCTCCTTTGTATCAGCCAGCTTGATCGTCTCCAACTCATCTCCGGTGGTGTCGACGAGAGTGCCGTCCCCGACGTCTCCAAGGCCCGTTTCGTTCCCCCACCAAGAAGCGACTCGACGGACTCCCGCAAGTCTATGGCCGCCAAGCGACATCGCCCACGCTCAAACACCGGCCCTCAGGGCGTCTCAATGGAGATTGCCCTCGAAAGCCGTTCTGACGAAGTCATCAAGAGCGTCGACCGCATCTTCACCAACACCGCCCACCTCAGCGGCGAGGCCATTGTCCACTTTGCCCGTGCCTTGACCGAAGTCAGCTGGGATGAGATCAAGGTGTCCGGGTCGAACGACTCGCCGCGCACCTACAGTCTACAGAAGATTGTCGAGATTTCGTACTACAACATGACGCGTGTGAGGTTCGAGTGGACCAACATCTGGGATGTGTTGGGCGAGCACTTCAACCGGGTCGGGTGCCACGTCAATGCCGCTATCGTGTTCTTTGCTCTGGACTCGCTGCGTCAGCTGTCTACGCGCTTTATGGAGATTGAGGAGTTGGCGGGTTTCAAGTTCCAGAAGGACTTCCTCAAGCCGTTTGAGCATGTCATGTCCAACTCGAACAACATAACGGTCAAGGACATGATTTTGAGATGTCTGATTCAAATGATCCAGGCCAAGGGCGACAAGATCCGTTCCGGTTGGAGGACCATGTTTGGTGTCTTTACCGTGGCCGCCAAGGACCAGTACGAAAGCATCGTCAACCTGGCTTATGAGCACGTTCTGCATGTGTACAAGACGCGCTTTGGTGTGGTCATCACTCAGGGCGCGTTTACCGATTTGATCGTTTGCTTGACCGAGTTTTCCAAGAACATGAAGTTCCAGAAGAAGAGTCTGCAGGCGATGGAGACGCTCAAGAGCATCATTCCCAAGATGCTCAAGACACCGGAGTGTCCGCTGTCGCATAAGCAGAACTCGGATGTAAATTCTGCCGAGATGGCTCTGAACGCTGCCACCAAGCCGGCGGGTCAAGAAACGGGCACAACAGTCGAGGAGGGTTTCTGGTTTCCTGTTCTGTTCGCCTTCCATGACGTTCTCATGACGGGCGAGGATCTGGAAGTACGGTCGAACGCCCTCAACTACTTCTTTGATGCCTTGCTCAAGTACGGAGCCACATTCCCGCTTGGGTTCTGGGATATCCTGTGGAGGCAGCAGTTGTATCCCATCTTCATGGTGCTACGGTCGAAGCCCGAAATGTCCAACGCTCTTAGCCACGAGGAACTGTCGGTTTGGTTGTCCACTACCATGATCCAAGCCCTGCGCAACATGATCACTCTGTTCACGCACTACTTCAACCCATTGGAGTACATGCTCGACCGGTTCCTCGAACTTCTGGCGCTCTGCATCCTCCAAGAAAACGACACCATTGCTCGCATCGGCAGCAACTGCCTGCAAACCTTGATCCTGCAAAACGTCGAAAAGTTCACCCACGAACACTGGCAAAAGATCGTCGACACCTTCTGCGAGTTATTCGACAAGACTACCGCGCATCAGCTCTTCAAAGCGGCCACCATCTCCACCCCCTTGTCAGCGTCCAACGGCCTCGACTACGCCAGCCAACTCAGTCCCTCCGCCGACGGTGCCGACGCCGACACCCGCTCCCTCAAGATCAACGGTGACAACGACGCCGGCTCCGAAACCTCCTCCATCCACCAAACTCCCCACACCAACGGCGGTATTAACCCCGAAGAGGACTCCCACTCCTCAGTCCACAACCGTCTCACGGCTTCCACCGCGCTCTCTTCGCACCCACCCAACACCCCCGGCGGCCAGGGTCTCGAAGAATTCAAGCCATCCACGACCCTCCAACAACAACCGCCCGTCGTGACCGCCGCCCGCCGCCGCTTCTTCAACCGCATCATCAGCCGCTGCGTCCTCCAACTGCTCATGATCGAGACCGTCCAAGAGCTCTTCTCCAACGACTCGGTCTACAGCCACATCCCCTCCCCGCTGCTCCTCAAACTCATGTCCCTCTTGAAGCGCTCCTACCTGTTCGCCAAGCGCTTCAACGCCGACAAGGACTTGCGCATGCGTCTCTGGCGGGAGGGATTCATGAAACAGCCGCCGAACCTGCTCAAACAGGAATCAGGCAGCGCCGCTGTCTACGTATCTATTCTCTTCCGGATGTTCGCCGACACCTCTCCCGAGCGTCTCGCGTCCAAGGCTGACGTGGAACGTGCCTTGGTTCCATTATGTCTGGATATTGTGCGCGTGTATGTCTCGCTGGAAGAAGAGAGTCAGAATAGGAATATCCAGGCGTGGAGGCCCGTGGTGGTGGAGGTGTTGAATGGGTTTGCGGGGGGCGTTAGTAACCCCGAAAAGGGTGAGATGAAAGAAGGCAGAGGGTTCGGAGAAGAAGATTTCAAGAAACACTTGCATGAGGTGTACCCTGTGGTGATTGAGTTGTTGGGGAAGGAGTTGGGACAAGGGGAGAGGGAACTAAGGCAGGCGTTGTTGGGGGTGTTGAGACGGGTGGGCGAGGTGGGGTTGGGGATTGAGGGGTTATTCGCCGGGAGGTCGTCGAACCACGGCAGCAGCAGGCAACAGGAGATGAGTGGTAATGGGAGGATGCACATGGGGGGATATGGATATGGGCATGATAGGACGGAGAGTGTGGTTAGTGTCATGACTGTGGGGACGATTGGTGGTGGTGGTGGTGGTGGTTATCGGGAGAGGGAGGGAGAAGGGGTGAGGGAAGGGGAGGGAGAAGGGGAGGATATGGCGAGGTAGAATTGTATACCAACTGTACCACCGTTCAAGGGTTGGTGAGGTAGAGAAAGGAAGATGAGAAGAAGATACCAAGTCCAAGACTAAGTCTAGGAGGTAATGGAATGGATGGGATAATCTCAAAGCAGAAGGGGATCCCATGTTTGTTTCTTTCTTATATATATATTTGTTAAAACGCGCGTACAATAACACAGTACCGACAAGTTCTTGTAAACACATTTTGTTCAGGTCTGGCTTTGATTTTGGCATAGAAAGGAAAATGTACGTCTTTAACTATTTTTTTTTGTTTTTTCAACTGCTTATCTGGAAGACTAGGTAGGTATGGTTCTGCTTTATCAACCGAAACATTGTGTATACCGATTGTATGTATTGTGTTGTGCTGTGTTGTGTTGTGTTGTCTAAGAAGAAGAAGAAGAAGAAGAAGAAGAAGAAGAAGAAGAAGAAGAAGAAGAAAAAGAAATCACATACTGCTTGCTCCTCTCATGATGATAATCATATCGTACATAATGGCCATTAATCAAGTCTCTCTCTGATGCGAGTACTTAAATATTGAATCCACTTGATATTAGGTAGGAAACCGAGCCCCGAAGCTTCATTTCCCTCTGCCTTTTCCTTTGCCTTTCGCTGATCCTGCTCATTATCATCAATCCATGATCAACTCTCCAAATTGTCCGGTCCCACAACCAGTTCGTAACCAGTTCCTAACCAGCCCATCCTCCTACACCGGCTCCCTAGTACTTGGATCCTCAAGGACCTACCTCATCACCACATCAACATCTCCCCCCACGGGCATCACCTCCCTCACCCATCCCCTCAACTCATCCCTTTCCTCATCCACCGTCCTATCCGGTAACCTCTCCAAGCTCTCCCTCAGCAACTGATCATCCGCCACCGCCTCTCTCAAAAGGTCTTTGATAATATTCACCTTGTCCTCGGAATGGGGCGTCACGCGCATCAACCCGACAAAGGCCTCGAAGAAGTCAATCAGCGATAAATGCATAAGCACATCATTGCGATCGACCATGCGGAGGGCAGCAAAGTGAAGTAGGCCTTGTCCGTGTTTTGGTGGTGCCGGGAGGGGCATCTGCGTTTCCTGTTCCTCTTCTTCGACTCCGACTCCGTTGGTAAGGATGTCGCTGTTGTAGTTTGTTGTCCTGCCGTTTGGACGGGAAGTGTTGTGACCGTTCGTCGTCGCCGCCGTAGCAAACATGTAGTATCCCGGCATTGGAGCCGCCACTTCGCTTCGAGCGACCTTGTTTAAATCCAACGCTGCTAGTCTCGGTAAAATCCTTAGTATCCTTCCTTGCGCGAGGGTCAATTGTCTTGCTTTTTTCTTCCTTTCCTCGGCGTCGGAAGTGGAAGAAACATCCGTATCTTCATGTCGACCAGCCAGTAAATCGAGTATGAGGGTGTATATTTGTTGGTCGGCAAACATCCGGCGCCACAACGCCCCTGAACCTTTTTCCTTCCGTAAGACCATATCATGCCATGTAGGCATCCCGGCATCAAGCGGGTGCTGTTGTTGTTGTCGTTGTGGTCGTGCCGGGGGTTCGAACTCGCAGTCGACGTCCAATAGGTCACCCATGATTCGCCCGCCTTTTTCTCCGACGCTTACTTCGCTACTGCCTAGCCAGGTTCGGACAAAGGAGTGGACGACTTCTTGCATGGCTGCTAGCTGGGCTACTTCGGCTGGAGCGGCAGCGGCTTTGTGGAGTATGGTCATGGCGAGGATGTTGGCTGCGGGAAAGGGCAATTCGAGCGCTTGGATTAGGGATTCAGGAGGCGCGAGGGAGGTGATTTGGCTGAAGGAGAGAGGGCGGAGGAGTTTGGTGGTCAACGAGGCCGGGGTGGTTGGGTCGGAGGGGGTGGTGTGCAGGATTTGGACGAGGCGGGGGAGGAGGGTGGTGAGGAGGGGAGGGGTGTTGGAGTCTGTTTCACGAGATCGAGGTCAAGTTAGTTTACTGGACGTGTTTCTAAGAGGCAGAGTAGGGAAGAGAAGAGTGGCAGGCACATACCCGTAAGCTGGAGCTCAATGTCGTCAAACAGCTTGGCTTCGAGAGGAGTGGAAGGGTCGGCGATGAGAGCGTCCATGTGCGCCGTGAGGTCATCGAGACCTGTGATGGGGATGTCGTTGTCCATGGTGTCTGTTGGCAGAACTCGTCGAGTTGCTCGTTTTCGAAAACCTCGATGTTCGTTGTGATATGGCCCGAATGTGGTCAAGAAGTCGACGACGGCAGCGAGGGTGGTGATGATGATGGCAAACAACAAAGATGTCCAGTGGAAGAAGGTCAGCGGCGGTTCAGTGATCTGCAGCAGCGGGCGTTGGGGAAGCTGCTGGTGGATACCACGGAACAGTGGGGGGAAGAAGCCAAGACATCAAGCTTCAGCCCCAATTCAGCTTAGCGTAACGAACGCACCCTGGCAAAACCCCTGCTCCCGCTGGAAAAAGTGTGGGGCAAAAAAAAGTGACTCCAGTTTAATTCGCGTTTCGTTATCGATTGGGACTTTGTAACTTTTTGGAGAAGGAAGACATTCCCGTCCCTTCATCGTATTGATTCTGGCGTCAACAACGTCATCACCTACCTAACGACACTACCATTTTGACGATATATCCTACCTGTCAGGAATAGAGAGCTCGACATACCCTCCAATTACCACGACCGAGTCGATCGAACCCCTCGTACACTCCCAGAGGAACACCACACAAGAACATCACCACCATGTCCGGCCGAGGAGGACGAGGCGGTCGCGGTGGCCGCGGCGGCGGAGGCGGAGGATTCGGCGGTGGCCGCGGTGGTCGTCGCGCAGTAGCCGCCAACTCGGTTCCCTGGCAAATGGACCCGACCATCGCTCTCGACGGAAAACCCTCTGAACTCTTCCCTCCTTACAAAGTCCCCCGCGCGCCGGTCCTCTCGAAAAAGGACGACCGACAAGTCTCCTTCTTTCTTTCGTTCCGCGAACAATGCCACGACTCGCCTCTCTACACGCAATCCCGCACGTGGGCGACCTTTTCGTCGTCGTCAGCAAGTAGTAGTCTCTTTGGGAGCAGCGCCAAAGCGACCATTGACATTTTCGAAGACGGCGTCCCCAGCTACTCGCACAAGTTCCAGCAAAAGGAACGGACGTTGCCTGACTTGGCGTCAAGGCCATTCGCCAAAGAATTTTTCCCCGCGGAATTACATGCTACGCTGGATGGGGTTGATGGTGGTTCGTCGGCGGCGGCCTCTGGAGCGAAACGGCGCAAGACGTCGGCGGCGGCAAAAACTATTGCGTTGTCGTCGGCAGAGTACAAGACGGCCGAAGACGTGTTTGGTCTTAAAGTCGCTAATGGCGCGCCACAAGGAGGAGGAGGAGGAGACGAAGGAGGCGAACCTAATTACCAACGAGCGCTGCAGTTGTTGGAGATGGTAGAGAAGAAGGTCGAGGACGGCGGGGAGGATGCGGCGGTGGGGATCCTGTCGGATGATGATGAGGATGATTGGGTGAAGAATAACGAGGATGAGGACGGGAACCCGGTGGCTGAAGAGGACGATGATTTCGAGGAGGATAGTGGGGATGATTATAATGCCGAGCAGTACTTTGATGGCAACCAGGATGATGATGATTATGATGAGGGTGGGGATGATGGGGGGGATTACTACTAGTAGTCTGTGTGGAATAGGGGGAGAGGAGGTCTGAGCAGACAAACAAAGAGGTTGTATGTGGTGGCTGGGAGGAGCTATCAACAATGTCAAGAGAACATCTGGTGGCTGGCATCATATGTTGGGCTCGCTTGGATGGGAACATATAAAGGCATTGTTGGATCCATCATGGATGTCCAGAGAGGGAGGGGTCTGGTGGACTCAAAGAATGATACCATTTTTCTATCGCATACGAATGTGCCTCATTGTCAGAAGATGTTCTATGTGGTTTTGGATATGATGGCTAAATATTCCAAGTGACGACCAAGCGATGCATGGGATGGTCATGACCACTATAAATTCGTGACGGTAATTGTGAATGACTTGACTCTCTTTAGCTTGCTGGTCTGAGGTAAGAAGACCTCGTCACTCCAACATGGACATCAATAAAGGAAAGTGTAGATGATCTCCAAGGCATGACAGTAGTTCCTTGATCATAACGGCACTTACGTATGATAGTAGGTTCTATCGCTATTTGACCAATCTTGTTATTCTGTATGTGACAACGACAGGTAATCGACCGTTCACAGGCTTCACAGGCGTGGATATGTTATCAGACAACTGATGAAACTGCTATAAACGTTGCAAGGACTATTCTATCTCCAGCTGCTAGCAATCCATACCATGATGTCGCGGGGGGTATTGACACCACCATCTCTTCAAGCAAACTTCTTAAGTAATTTTACTTTTTCTACAGAAACCAAATCACAAAGCCTTCCTCTCCACTCGCCCCCTTTTCTTGTCAATAGTCAAAAGTCAACAGTCAACAGCCCATCTAAGAACCATTTCCCATAAACTCCCTCAACTGCAACTCGGTAATACCCTCCTTGACCCCTCCCACCACGCCCGCCACCTTGAGGATACTCTCCTCAAAGTCCCTCAACACCGCCGCCAACTCCACCACCCGCTGATCAACCTGGCCGCCCTCCCCATTCACGCCATTCTCCTGATCCAGCTGCATCTTCTGGCTCGCCGCCGCCCTCTGCAACTGCTCCAGCACATTACCCTGCACCCCATGCAAATGCACCTCGATCTCACCCAAGTTCTCCTCAAACCGCTTCATCATCTCATCCATCTCATCCGCCGTCTTGCTGAAATACCCAATCAAATCCTGATTACTTTCCGCATCGTCGGCCTCCTCTTCGTCTGCCATCTCCTGCTCCGTCTTGCCTCCTCCTTTTCCTCCTGCACCTCCTACTCCTGCACCGCTACCACTTCCACTACCTGCCGACTTACCGCCGGTCGTAGCAACACTCTTTGTCTTTGCAGTTCCAGCACCACCAGTACCGTTCTGACCATCTTCACCAACTGAAGCTTGTCCGCCTGCGGAGCGGGATGACCAAAGACCCGCCTGCCAATACCCCCCCGGCAAACGCAGCTGATCAATAGCTTTGAAACTGAGGCGCGCATTGGCAGCGTCCTTTTTCACAGTTTCCTTAAGGGAAGCAATAGCCAGCACGTCACTGTTCAAAGCACTAGCTGCGCCTTCGGACTTGCGAGAGACAAAGGAGACGTCCAAAGGAATGGAAGACAGCTGTTGTTCGTGGCCGGGCATGAAGGCGTTGATGGCGTTGCAGTCGGAAATGCACTTTTGGATGGACTCGTCGATTTGCGTCAGTTGGGATTGCAGGCTGTCGGTCAGGTCGGAGAAGCGCGTGGTGGAGCGCAGGTTGGGGAGGTCGACTTTGCTGCCTGCATTTTGTTGAGTGGAAGCAGTGGTGGTGCCTTGGCCGAGGGAGAGGGAGAGACCACCGCCGCCGCCCGTGGTGGTGGGTTGAGTGGCCGTGGTGGTGGTTGAGGGTTGGGTGGTGCCGCTGAGGAGAGTTAGTTAGTTGGTTGGGGAATGGATTGGGATAAGCAAGGGCTAACTGGAGGAGAAGAATGGAAATGGGGAGACGTACAAAAGGCTGGTGGTGCCGGTTGTGGTGGCGGGCTTGGAGCCAAAGAGAGAGGTGGTGCCGCCGGTGCCGCCGAATAGAGAGGTCGTCTGCTGCTGCTGCGGCTGTTGCTGTTGCTGTTGTTGCTGCTGCTGTGGCTGACCAAACAGGCTGGTGGTGGTGCCGGTGGTCTGTTGAGCTGGCTGGGCAGTGCCAAAGAGGGAGGTTGTGGTGCCCGTCTGTTGGGCTGGTTGAGCAGTGCCGCCGCCAAAGAGCGAAGTCGGCTGCGTCGGTTGTTGTGCCGTCGCGCCGACGCCGCCGCCGCCGAAAAGGCCACCGCCCGTCGCGGCGGGGGTCGTCGTGGTTCCTCCTCCTCCGAAGAGAGACATTTGTTGTTGTTGTGGTTGTTGTTGTTGTTGCTGCTGCTGCTGTTGTTGCGCCGGTTGACCAAAGATCCCCCCACCAGGATTATTTTGCTGTTGCTGAGCAGGCTGGCCAAAGATTCCTCCTCCTGTCTGCTGCTGTTGTTGTTGCTGTTGTGGTTGTCCGAATAAACCTCCGGTCGACGGCTGCTGTTGTTGTGGTTGCTGGCCAAAGAGACTTGGTGTTTGTTGCTGTTGCTGTTGCGAAGGTGCTCCTCCTCCAAACAAACCTCCACTGGCTGGAGTCGGTGCTCCTCCAAACAAGGATGCCGTGTTTTGCGGTTGCTGGGCGGTTGCCGTGCCAAAGCCGGTGCCGGTGCCGGTGGAGTGTGCGGGTGTACTTCCACTGAGTGATGTAGGCAGCTGTCAACAACAGTACCTTGCTTGGGTTTGTAGTGTAAACAGTCTTGGGACAACGAAAGACAACTTACAACAGATTGGCAGTGCCGGTGTTGATACTCAGCCCGCCGGGACCACTTGCTGAACGGAACATGTTGAAAAGAAAGTGTGATTATGTGTATGCCAGGGATGGGCTTGTTACAAGGTCGGGCAACGCGACTCGTGTGGAAATGCGATCCGTGGCGTCGTGAAATGTGGAGATGTCTGACGCGGTTTGACTTTGAACTCGACTTTTGGAAGATGCGGCTGCTGAGTGCTGCTGCAAGGCAAGACACATGGGACAGGACAGGACAGCCAAGTGCCGGGTAGGCAAACAACACACGGACCACTTGACTTTGGTTGACGTCGCGCTTTCAGCACCAGAACACGCGCCTGACCGCCTGCCTAAAATGTACCTACTTTCACTGGGACTCCAAACAGCCAAGACCATTTCGCCGCATTATCCAATTATCCAATTGTGTAGTAGCAGCCAGCCAACCTCACCTTGTCATTACACCACAGAATCACGACCACCATCATCTTTCCACTTACACCAAATATCCAAAACACCACATTCCACCAAGAACCCAAGTCAAAATGGACATCGACGAAGACGAGGATTTCTACGCCCCCGACGAGCCCCAGGCCGCTCCGCCCACCACAGCCGCGACCACCACAACCCCCGCCACCACCACCACCACATCAACCACCACAGCATCAGCGCCGCCCACCACAACTTCATCAACAAAACCCGAAGACGAGCTCGAGGAGGGCGAAGAGGAAGATGAAGGCGGTGGCGCCATGGACGAAGACGACGACTCGGACATTGATATCATCACGGAGCGCAAAGACGGATCCGCCCCTCCTCCTCCCGTCCAGAGTCGCTACAGCGAGATCCGCAACATTCCGCAGCGGGCAGCGGCCAACGATAATGGAGTTAAGACCGCGCCTGTGAAGAAGTCGGATGGTACCAACAGCAACAACAACAGCAGTAACAAGTTCGGTGGTGCTGGTGGTGGTGGAAACGAACAAAAGACGAGACAGGGAAGTGGTGCGGCAGGTGGTAGTGGCGCAGAGCTCCCTCCTGTAAGGACATCCAAGATTGAAGTGGATGGGATTCCGGTTTACAAACCTGTTGGCAAGCCGATTACGGGTGTGGTTATTGATGAGGGTATGTTTTTCTCCTTTCCTTTCTTACCATTCTGTGTATCGAAACGGTTACTGACAAAGCTGCTTGCAGACCTCCCTGAAAACGACAAACCCTGGCGCAAACCCGGCACCGACCTCTCCGACTACTTCAACTACGGCTTCGACGAGTTCACCTGGGCCCTGTACGCCCAGAAACAAGAAGCCCTTCGCGGCGAGTACAACGCCGAAGCCATCGCCGCCAACAACAAGAAGATGATGGAGGAAATGACCAACATGATGATGATGGGCGGCATGATGCCTCCCGGCATGGGCGGTCCCGGTGGCCCCGGCGTGGGTCCGGCCGGCCCAGGTGCCATGGGTCCAGGTGGTCCTGCTGGTGCTGGTGGCATGGGCGGACCCGGTGGTGGTCTGGATGGCATGCCGCCCGAGATGCAGGCCATGATGCAGCAGATGATGGGCGCCGCAGCGGCGCAGGGCATGGATCCGAGTCAGATGGCCCAGATGGGCATGGCGGGCGGTCCGGGCGATATGGGTGGTATGGGAAGCATGTTTGGTGGTCCTGGTGGTGGTCCGGGTGGTCCAGGAGCTGGAGGTATGGGTCCTGGCGGTCCTGGTGGTCAGGGACAGCAGTTTGGAGGTGGGTTTGGTGGAAACCAGGGGCAGGGTGGTTATGGTGGCTATGACCAGATGGGTGGTGCGGGTGGTGGAGGAAGGGGTGGTAGGGGAAGGGGAAGAAGGTGGTAGGAGCACTGGTGATCCCTCTCCCGCTGAAGCGCTTCTTTTTTCTTTCTGTTTGTTAATGTATGATACTGAGATACCTATTTGTGGCCTAATGCCCCGAATCAATGGCTGGCCGGTGGGATGGATGGGATAACGGTTCACGAAAATTATGAAAGTTCTTTGCTAATAGGCGGCTGGTGTCTTGCCCTCAATCTGTCCACGTGGATGAAAAATGGCTAGCCCTGGACTTTTATCACGGATAGTACTCGATCAACGTCACTCAGCCTCACGATGACAATCACGCATGTCCTGCAATTTCTTCCATTATGTTGTCATTTGTTCCATCAACCACTCCTATACCATCCTGTACACGATCTCCCCGCTACCCTCGCCAACCACCTCGCCAGGGGTAAAATGTTTAATCTTCCAGTATTCCAGCTCAACAGTGCGCCAACATGTTGCATCACAGTGTTGTTCACTCAAGGCCTCTAGGACGCCTGGCCTCACACGTACCCACCCAACTCAATCCTCCCGACGAAGACCAACCCTCAGTCTTCTCCTCAATGGTCCTCCAGCCCCTAGCTTGGGGTTTGCGTCCTGCCGTTCAGCCAGTTACCTATTGAGGACTGTTGGAATCCTACACATGGTGGTCTGGACTGAAGGTCATAGATACGCTTCGTATAACTGCCCGACATGGAGTTTCCGTGCTGGAGGAGCTGTCACTGGGCACTAGGCACGGCAGGAGAATGGAAAAAGCTTTGTTCAAAGTAGCCGTCCAATCCATGATCCCAGGTTCTGAAGAAAGCGAAGTCGCTGTTGAAGGCGTTTTCTGGAAAAGGAGCAGCAGCTGATGACCTCAGCGCAGGGGCGTTGTTAATGTTGTACCTTGTGCGCCCGGTCTTGGGTTTAAGGGTGGTCCGGCTACCTAGACGAGGCCTCAATCCACCAGGATGCTCCTATGCACCGGCCACTGATGGTGAGTGGCTTCGCGCGTTTGGTGTCGGTTCGCCTCATTGGGCCTTGCCTTCTAGGTAACTTGGACGTCGCCATCTTCCGTTTCTTATATCGGCACTAAGGACCTTTTGACCGCGCGGCTTTAACTTGACGGGCTCTTTCGTGTTCTGTTGGTGCCCTTGTTGGTTATGGTACCTATCTTGGTCTGGCAACATACCTAAGAAATATTACCTAGCATTTTTAAACCCCTCTCGGAGACCTCAACTCTCGTGGGCCAAGGACGAAGGTAGGTATCTCACCGTAGGTAGGTAATCTCTTGCTTACCTAGGCTAGGTAGGGTGCGCGCTAGCGCGGGCGAGGTAGGTACCTAGTGAACCTCTGTCGAGTTCACGACAGCTGTGCCTTTGACCGCTGAATGCAAAAACCACCGATTACACTACCTAGCAAAAGCTCTCTAGGTACACTTGACTGCCCGTGTTCAAGTCAGGTACAAATCCCAACCCGGGTAGGCTGTGACTGCTCACAGAAATAAGCTCGCGGACGGACCGAACTATATCATAACATGAATATCCCACATAATCTCTCCCTCCCTTTGGGTACCTAGGTCTCGTGGGAATATGGAGCCGTGATTGGGACTGGATACCCAAGGCTTCGTTCTCGACATGGTGCTAGATAAAATCAGCATCACAATCGCTCAGATCGGAGAATGGCGATGTTTCATAGACGGGCACTCACCACCAAAGTTACCATGGTTGATGAGTCCACCGCCTGAGTTGTGCTTCGTTGTGTCGTTGATGCGGAGAGCTTTGGGGCGCGGTGTTGTGCGAGTCGCTGGAGTGCACGATCGACGCAGCTGTGTACAGGTAGGTCTCGTTTTCACCCACAGTATTGGTCTGGTTGTGACCTCTGCTGGTCTCTTCCTCTTTTGAGGCCTCTCTTTCTTTGGCTCTTTGTTGAGGACCTTCTTGCCCTCTGCGACCTCCCTGTCGCGTGTCGCGTTAGTTCCTTTATTCGTCACCTTTGTCTAGAAGCTAAGGTGATGTGTGCTGGTACCTCTGGACTAGTCGAGGTGATGCGGTTGACATACTGATGTGGTGATGATAGGGGTTACGGTTGGTCTGGTGGATTATTCGGAGTTCGTCAATAAATAGGTAGGTATATAGGTAGGTATATGACGGCAAACATTGATGATCGCGGGCGTTAGACGAGCTCCATTCTTTTTTCTAGATGGGCGTCGAAGAACAGCCCGTGAGAAAGCATGAGCATGTCAATGGTCCCTGCCTTTGATAATTCGACATTATGGACGTGTGATTGTATACCTAGGTAGAGGTGTGGAAGTACTAGGTATCTTTGAGACCATGAGAACTAACTGGAAACTCGAGAGATACAGGAGCGAGGAATGGGGGCGAAGGTCTTTTAAATATTGTAGAGTGTCAAGGAGGTCATCCCTCAGCATGACCAGCTCATGAGGTGGCCTAGTCATACGTTTGAAGCAAGGGAGTAACCTGAGCAGAAAGGGGACTGAGTCGAAAGACGGTTTAGTCACAAATCAAAACCCACCGGTACTTAAACAAGTGACTCATGAACATGGCTGACACCGACTGACATGCACGTGAAGCAAGCTGAACTACTAGGGAGGTACTTGAGTAGAGGTAAAGTTTCAAAGTGAGTTCTATCTATTGTAGACCGGGACTACCTGATTGAGGCTGGCGTTGGCTACTCCTTATTCCCTGGAGTTATCTGCTCAAGTTTGAATCCTGCTAATACATCAGTGCCAGGTGGGCTTGTATTTGCCATATGGTACCTCTAGGTGATAGTCTCTTCCTCAGCTTCCTTGTTGGACGGTAGATGGGTGCTGTCGCTTGCTCCCTTTCTGAACATCAGCTGTTTCTTCCCTTCCCCGACAGGGCTGTAGCTGGCGTTGGTCATAACACCGATGGTCTGGGAGTTGAGCTTGCGCTGCACCAACGTCCAACGAGTACTGCCGTGTCCTTCTACCTCAATGCCAAGGCCTTGAAAACGCTTTGCGAAGCCGACAAGTCCTTTGAGTATCCTGCCTCCAGACAAAGAGAGAGTTCAGGACTCATCCTCGCTGTCATTGGGTTCCTCACCGCCCACCCAAGCTTGGTCAATCCAATAGTCCCAGTCGAAATTGTCATTCGCAATGGTCTCCGGCGGATTATTGTCTGCGGTAAGGGTTGGAGCCGCAATACTAGAGGCAAAAGGTGCCGCATTTCCAGTCTGTGCCCGCAGCGCCTGAGCTATGAAGCCCGTGTAAGGTTCTCCGGGGATTTGCGGAGATCCAGATGGCGCCGTTGCTCCCTGGTTGAAGGAATTCATGGGCAAATCTCCAAAAGCATTGCGGCCTTGATAACCACTATCCCAGATGACAGCAGATTGGTGTGTTGCACTGGCAGCGTTGGTAGTCGAGCCTGTACGAGCGGTCGTCACGCCCTGGAGTTGAGGAGAGATGACGCCGGCGTTGTCTGCATCAATGGCCGGGCCATGTTGTCGAGAAGGGTCGGTTGCGCTAATTGCATCGTACCATGAACGATTCACCTCAAACATGTCGAGGTCCAAATTGCTGTCAGTCCCATCCAAGGCGCCCCAATGACTCGTAGAGAATGGCGTATTTGCCGATTCTCGGGTTTGATGAGCAGTAGATGGAGGTGGTGGCAATGAGTAGTGGTGTTGATCGCGTGGCCCATGATTCAGGTTGGGAACTGAATAAGCATCCGTACTGGCGGCGGACATAGGGTTTGTGACGAATTCGGCCGCCCGTGTGCCCTGTTCCAAGGAGGTTCGGTCCACGTCGAAAAGAGTATTAGACGAGCCAACACCGGTGTTTGACGAGACACCGTTGCCATTGTAGCTCTGAGGCTCCGAGGCACTGGCTTGTCCGGCGAGCTCAGGCTCGGACACTGCACTTTGGTACCCATTTCTAGCCGCCTGGAGCTCGTACTCCTCGGCTAGTCTCATCAGGGGGCCTTTTACCACCCTTCGGCGTTTGCTAGGCCTCTCGGAGGCTTCGCCGCTGGCTGTTTCGGGCCTTCCCTCACCAAGGTGCTCCTATGCACCACTGATGGTAGGCAGGCCCGCGTTCTGCACGGTACCGTTACCAAGTGTGGCTGTTTCGCTATTTATTCGCGTGGCCTTCACGGGCAATTTTGTCGTCTTTGGTCCTTGTGGCTTCGCTGCGTTTGCAGCAAGCACCTTCTGACCGGCTTGAACTTGCCGGGTTCGCGTGGCGTTGGTGCCCTTGTTTAACACCTTGGTCTGGAAATTCGAAATATGTTAGATAGGGTACGATTGTTGAGTTCTTGCGCCGAGAAGTGAGGTATCTTACGGAAAGCTCCTGCTTAGGATTAGCAGCAAAGCGAGTGAGGTAAGCTGGCTGGGTCGCATTCACCAGCGAGGCTTTTGGTCTATGAAAGTATAAGGCGGGTTAGCAAACGTTCCTCCGTAAACTTAGCAAGTCAACCCAGGCCTTGACCTACCGAGACTAATTCATGGGTGGACTGAATTCTCTCCCGGAAGTTTTTATAGTCCCCATTCTTAGGGAATGCCTCATTACAGTAGAGAACGGTGTCGGGCGTTCCCTTCTCCGCATCAATTGCATTAACCTAACCAAAGGTTAGTACGGTCACTTCGCAAGACAGTCCAAGATGTTGTGGTCATGTAGGGGTACCTACCAACCAGTCCCAGCTCAGGATATACTTCTTTAAGTCAGACATTTCCCTGACCCGCTTCACTTGAGCATGGATTTCTGGCCCTTTGCTCTTTCCCTGCTCGTGGCCCTTGTCTTGCCCACCAACCTTTGGCCTTTCGACCATATTCGCGGGCTCGGCGACCATCCCATCGAAAATGTACTTTGCCAGGCGAGCTTTCTCCTCAAAGTCCTTGGGAATATCCCCTGGTACTGGGTTAACCGGCCGACTCGTGCGAACCCGAGCCCAGTGACGCAGTGCTAGCGCGTCACTCCAGGATTTCAGGAGATCCTGAGGAAGAGGAGTGAACTCCTTTGGGTCACTGGATTCTGTTCGGCGATTTTCCCTTTCAGCGACCGTCAGGTAGCGTTCAAGGCCACGTAGGAAAGGCTTGGATTGTCCAAGTCTGGCCACCGCTTGGTCGATTAAGCCGCTGTCGTGATGAGTTGCGAACCAACGGTAAACTTGCCGAGCAAAGTTGACCCCAGAGAGAATCCTTCCATCCTGGAGAGAAGGATTATGGAATTGTTGTTGGATGCCATTTGCAATCTCGGCGAAGGATCTCAAACTTTCATCGTCGTTCAAAAGGTTGTCGTAGATGATGTCGATCGTTTTCCAGCACTCGATCTTCTCGTGGTCGGACAAAGCGTTGGACATCATGAGTGCTACCAAGCTAAAAGGCGTCGGGTCATTGGCGCCCGGATGAGGAGGCTGAGGGAAGCTCATGGTGAAGACTGTAGTGGGTATGATTGGTCTATGGATAGGGCTTGTTAGTATATAAGACCTGAAGTTCGAGTGCTCAACATTGATAGAAAGCTTGCAGAGAGTTCCAAGAAATGAGAAAGTGATGCTGATGAAAATGACTGAGCAGCAGCGGGGTACCTGCCGACCCCTCACCAAAGATGTCGGTGACGGTAAGGTGAGAAGGTCTGAGGAAGTGAGCTCGAAGTGATTACCGACTACCAGGAGTAGCGGAAACAAAGTCAAGATCTTGATCTCCTGAAACTGGGGTACACCAGAGGCAGAAGACCGTGATCAGTTCTAAAAAGGCAGTGATTGAAAAGAACCTGAAGGCACGGAAAGTGGACGAAGAAAGGGTAGGGGCAAGGAGGGGTCACAAAACAACAGTACTGGCTCCGCTGTCAACAGACCAGCGCCACTACCAGGTGGTGGGGTGACGTGGAGGCGACCGACAGGCAGGAGACTGGACGAGGTGCAGAGGAAGTCATCACGAGCAGCAGGGAAAGAAGTCGTTGTCGACGCCGACATAATCGACAGTCGCTGGCAAGGGGAAGTGATTGTTGGACTTACTGGTATTTCGTTGCGGTCTTCGAGCTTGCTGATCAGGCTTACTATCTCGACGGTTGAGGAAAGCGAGTTGCTCGTAAATGCAAAGATCGAGGTGTGGTTGGAGAGTTTTTGGAGGGGAGAATTTCCAGGTGGAAAGGCTGTCTATAAGAATGAAATTTGGAAGGCTGGAATATATAGAGTGGAGAGGGGAGGATTCGAGGCTGTAAACCTGGATGGGATTTCTGGCACCTGAGGACGTAAAGGACGGGAGGCAGCGCACAGGGCAACCGACACTCAGCTAAGTAGATCGCAGGATTTGTTTGGAAGGTTTGGCACTGAACCGTTGGCAGACACTCGGCGAGAGAACAGGTGCTAGGCCACTTACGGTCAATTTGTTCTGCTCAAGGTTCTCTAGCAAGGCAGTAGGCGGCTTTTTCGACCGGATGAACTCATTCTCCAGTTGCTGAAGTATAATCAGTATTGACGATGAAGGGATGTGTCTTTTCTTCTGTCTTGATTTGCTCAGTACTGGTCCTCGTCTTCTTTCTGAAGAGGCACTTGCCCTCTAAACGATACATCTGTGTGTAGGTATCATCCTACTCTTCGTACACAGGGCTCGCGTTCCTTTCATTTATATATATTGATCCCGCGGGCTCGTGCATACGGTAATGCCAGTGTTCGAGCTGGAGCGCAGGACGGCAGGGAATTCCCCATAGCGGGATACGATACCAATCAAGCACCAAAATTCGACGTATCTGAGCGTGTTTGAACATATCTCAACATGGAGGGGAGGGGCAGGGTTGAAGAAATCAAGCAGGCAAGGCGGCATACTGATCAGAGAACACCCTGCTTCAGGAGAGCTTTAGCAGCTAATTAGTGACCGCTGGCAAACCTTCAGGCGTGTCCAAGAGCCCCCGGCTTCCAACAAACACTCTGTTGCTGCCAACCTAGATGTGCCATCCATGCTGTTGACTGAAGGACAAGTAGAAACCAATCCGTAACCCGACTGCTGAACCGATGCCCGCTCGTCTCTCGATATAAGAAGTGCCAGGCCGAAAACGTTGTTACTGTGCCATGGACAGATTCGCTGTCGATAGCACGCCTTGAACAAATTCTCCTCCCATTTCGGCCCCCAAAACCGTCCCTGGCCGCCGATTCGATGCTCGACCATACTTGACATACATCCCCCCGCCAATTTCTGTTTGACTCGAGAATCTAGTGTTCGTTGATGGCCGACACTGCTGCTTGACCCGTAAGTTGTACTCGCACGAATACTGTTCTCGACCGAATACTGCCGGCTATCCATGTAGTATCTCACGAGCAGTAGCTGAAGCTTGAGAAGACACGACAAGAGCTCGACGAGGATTGCCGCATCGTTGAGTCTGCCACTAGACAGCAACAAGAAGATAAAACCGAGAATTGAGCCCCGAGAAACAAGAACATGTTGCAGATGAAGGAGGAGAAGATAGAGTCGAGTCCGGCGACACGGCCACTACCGTAGCTGGCGAGGAGCACGCGGCGAAAGAACAAGACAAGCACCGAGCGAGCAATAACAGTTAAGGGAGCCGAACGATGATAAAGAATATGACAACGACAACACGACAAACATGCCAGACTACAGACTCTCTTCGAGCTGGCTACTCGACAGTCTTGTTCCGACAAAGACCATTGTTCACGGCGACACCATGGCCCATTGTTCTGGCCTAGGTCGACTTCCTTGGCGAGAGGAGGGGGACCAAGGGAACGGTCAAGCGAGCTTCTGTAAATCTACCACCCATGCAAGCGAGACCACCCTGGCAGCAGTCCAGAATGGTCGCAGTGACAACCCGACACGACACCCCGCGATCAGGAGAGAGCGAAATTCACGAGTAGTCTGAAAAGGGTAGCGACTGTGACCGCTACGAGAGCGTACATAGGGGGCAAGACAATGGGCTGGAAGCAGAAAAACACCAAAGAGGGCACAGGAAAGACAAATGATTGTGGTCTCCTCGCTCGAGGCACCCGAACAACGGTGAAGGTTAGCGAAAGCAACGAGAGCTCAGGATACTCAGCAGCCGCCATAGCGACTTGTGCTGACGGTGTCGCAGACCGCCTTGGGAATCATGTCCCTCGTCTTCAACGTCTCAAACCCCCTTTGTTTGTTTATCGATCCGTAGCCCACACCATCGCAAGTCGCGACAGCCGCTTGGCCCCAGCAAAAGCCCGTTGCTTCAATCGCTACACTGCTGGCCTCTACATACGGAGCTCGCGTTGCCGGACTTCTGGCATGCTCTGCTCGCGTTACCTTAGAAAGGCGTTGGCAGGCGAAGCGATGAAGCAGAAGCGGCTGGCCTACCGATGGCCACGAGCGCAAGGTGAGCGAACCCTTCTCGGTCGAGACAGTTGACAGTTGGTTTGTAACTGTCACTCCGAGAGCGCCGAGGACGGAGTCTCGAGGGTTTGCGATGTCCATAGGCCACGGAAAGGTTGTCCCTTGGTGGTCGAATCAGCCGCGTAAAAGGGATAAATCTGAAGCAGCGATCGATGTCATTTCCATAACTTGACAAGCAAGTAACCCGTAATGAGCTTTGTGGTATCGTGATAATCGTGGTAGCTTGCGACATTTAGCGAGACCTGAGACGGAACTAAGAGTAGGAGAAACAGAATCGAAGCAACAAGTCGGCACTTGCTCACCAGCAACGACAGAAGAAAGGGGGCGACAACGAAGTCGAGTTTCCTTTCCTTGCACGCCACTATGCCAGACGAGGAAAGAGCACGACAAATCTCTTGCAGGAACCGGCAAATCAGACAGGAGCAGCAGACAAAGGCATCGCTCCTGCGTTCTCCGTCCATTGTTCCTGCTTCTTTCACATACCGAAGTCGGAGGCACAGCTGCCAAGGATTGGTATCATCAGGTGGGCGAACTGGGAAATTAAACGAGTGCTGAAGGAAAGAGCGACGACTAGTCTGGTTAGTGTAAGGACATGAAGTCCATGACTTGCCACATCCCCAGAAGCAGTCAGTGGCAACTGAAAGGTATCATGGAGACTGCGAAGGCGAGATGTCGGATACCTCTATGGAGAGATGTTGTTCGTCCAGTTGAGTTGATGAGATGAAGGAAAGAAGAAAGCTGATGTGGTGACATGAGTGTCTAATTCAGAGATTGAGATTCTGGAAAAACCAGCATGATGCCACCATTTGTGTCAATACAGCAGCAGTGCGAAGTGTGCTTCCTAAATTCCATGCCGTGTTAACATCTGCCGATCAACATACGTGACATGCAGCAAGTCGTCGGTTGATGCTATGCATTCCCTTTGGTTCATGTCGGAGACCAACTTGTCCCCTAGCGGCTTTACTCCGGCCAGTCGAGAGTTATAGACTGAAGTTACGATGTAACCGAACACCTCGCCACGGAGTATGGAAACCTTCCATGCACAGATGCAGGAACAACAACACCACCTCTGCGTTTCCATTCCAAAGTCAACTTTGTCAAAATCTCGTGCACTTCCAAGTCCAAACCCCTAACTAAGTAAACAACAAAGCGCACAATAACCGCCGTCCAAACCCTCAGCTTAAACAAAGTAAACTACCGGGTAAGCGACACCAAGATATTTAATCCCAAGATGGAAGCTCCCGTCCAGTCGACATTGAGCATGTTGCTGACATAATCACATTACACACCCCCCCGACCCCCGAACGCTCATTACACATAACGACATGTCATTTGCCAAGAAAAGTGGTCGCCGATATTTATCCCATGCAATACGACAGATGGCTGGATGCAACACCGTGGACGCCACCACACGGCACGGCACTGCGCCCCTGGAATGCTTGGAGGCTCAACATCGTCTCTCAACGACGTCCCAAGACGCTGGTAAATGAGGCCGCGCGTACATCTGACCCTTCAGGGAAACCTTCAGGGCATCGTATATAAAAAGGGAAGGTAGTACGGTTTTTCCGAGTGGCTAAGAAAGCTTATTCTGTCACAAGAAAATAGTCGGTTTGAGGTGTGAATGCCCCCTTGTTTCTTGGAGTATGTATAGCGTACACTATCCATGCAAGAAGTGTGTCGACACCTGCATACCTACCTAGAGGTATCTTTCTGGAATCTCGGTCGTAATTCTTTGTAGTGGATAATACAAGGTTGATTATCAGCCAATACCGTCCACGAAGATGGCTGCATATGCAGCTAGCTAGCTAAGGAGCAAGCTTAAAACGCCATCGAACGAGTGTGTGTACAGGCCTTCCCCGATTGAGATGGAACACAACTCTCTGTCACGAACTGCGAACTGCAAAGACTGGATGCATGCGGCAAGTAATGGCGGTAGTTTACCTACCTACCATCGATCCGGCGACATGACCCGGGCCGGCGAGACACCATTAAAGTTCTTACGTGTGATACTACCTACCTACCTACTACCGACGCCTCTCGTCCAAGCGAGACACACCACCACCATTCGACTAGACCCGTCACCCCCCCACCCACCTCCGGCTGGCTGTTATAGGCGAGAGTTTAAATGTGACCTTCCTCAAACACAATCCCGCGCCCCTATGTAGTGTAGTGTATGTTGTATGCCGGTACTATCACAGACAGACGACGAAGACCCTTCTCAGACACATCCGAAGGAAGACTATCAAGGACGATCAAGTGGTGCTTGCCCTTACTTGCTAAATCACCGATATCTCCACAGTCGCCCATTCCATTGGGAACTTCTTCTAGCTGCCCCTGCGGCTGACTGGACTGGAAGGAATCCCAGTGGCCTCCATACCCGGGCAGATCACTTCCCTCATCAAGCGGGTGATACCTCCAGGTAGAGTGGTATCAAGGTTAGCCGATAGTCACTAGCAGTAGGTAAGACACGGTAGAGCTAGTAATGAGTGTAACTGAACAGACCCCTGAGGGGGGGGGGACTGGGGAGCAACCCACATACCAGGTAATCGATACGAGCACTAGATGGTGTAGTGTAGGTTCCGAAACGGAGCCCCCCAACCCGGAAGAGAAAACCTCGTCGATGTTTCTTCAGGTTCTTCGTTCCATGTCGCTGAAGATGCACGGCCGTGCGTGGGTTGCAAGCAAGTAACGCAACTCGGGACCAATCGCAACCATTACCATAACCATTTCCATAACCACAACCGTCTGCACCTCCTCGAGGGTGAACGTTGATTCCCAAGATGCGACCATGTGCATGTGCATGACCTACAGCTGCAACTGTTCAATGTTCACGGCAGTGTGTATAAAGGTACCATGGTAGGTAAGGTAGGTAGCGATATTCCGCCCGCCAGCCAGCAGACTGGATGGACCCTGATTCCGCACGCCTTCCGCTGTTAATATCGCTAAAGTATGCGGGCACTTAATGAGCTGTGGTGACCTATGTGGTTGCTGCTCTCTCTCCTACAACAGTTTAGCGTTGTACATCGTTCCGTACTTCCGGGAAATTTAGGCGGGTGGGGGGCATGGGACACTTTATCCTTCTTGGGGATAAGACAAACACTTGTGTTAAAGAAGAAGAAGAAGAAGTAGAAGTAGAAGGAAAAAAAAGACGGAACTGGGACCGAATTCCGCGGCGCGGCGCGGTGTCCGCTACCTACCAGACAGATAGAGAGATAGCGGGGGGGAGGGGACGGGGAGGGGACGGCGGACAACCGCCGCGCGGCGCGGTGCGGTGGACAGGCAGGCAGGCAGGGACTGGGTCACCGGGAAGTTTAGGTAGAACTGGGGATGTGTATGCACAGCCGGTGGTGGTGGACTGGTGGTAACTGAGGGATGGATGGATGGATGGGGCCGGGGAGAAGGGGGAGGAGGGGGGGGGGGAAAGAAAGGGAGCTGAACCCGGGTTCCACTAACGGTGGGGGGAAGAAGGGGAGAAGGGGAGATGCGAATTCGATAAGGCCGGCTGTGACATTTGGACTAGACTACATGTGATGATGTGGGAGAGAGAGATAGGAAATAGATAGTCGTTGTTGACTCGGTTGTGCAAGGGAGGTGCCGGTAGTGTAGACTACTAGACGAGGGGGGGATAGTAATGACGGGAGTAGTGTAGTGTAGTATAGTATAGGATTTGAGGAGGGATGGATAGTGTAGTAGTGTAATACCATAGAAACTCCTCCTCTTCCCCACAGAAACCTCAAGGGGTGGTGAAGCAGATTGGGGCGTAGTGGCTGCGGAAGACTCGCCGTTGGGAAATTGATTTGGTCAAAGAAAAGACTAAAATCGAGCTCGATCTCGATGAGATAACTACCCACACGACGGCGTCTTCATGTGTACCTGGCCTAACCGTAAAGGAGAGTCAGCATAGTCTAGGTCGGTCCTATGTGTCGCTATAGCCGTCAGATATCATAATAAGAAATGTTATTGCATAGTGACGGAGAAACAGCATTTGCCCATTTCTGTCAAGACACACTGAAACATAAAGGCGGTCAGTCAATCGCCTGGCCGGACTTGGCAATATAGTGTACCTAGTGTATGCTAAAACCAAAGAAGGGTACGGGTATTCGATGGCCTAGAGGTACAAAAGTGGAAAAAGCTCGCTAAGAGAGATCACGAAATCCCTTGAATGAACTTTGTGTAACGCTTCACGGCTGCCCGTGCAGAAAGAGGGCTGGGGGCCGCGGGGATCATTAAAAAAAAGCCCCCAAGACAGCCCAATGGTGTGGCTCTGCTTGTAACGAACTGAGCCTTGGTGTCGTTCTCGACCGTGTCGCTGGAAACACTCAAGTCCACTTTTCTTTCCTTGGAGGTTTGGTGTCTCCACGAATCCAAGTTTGATGGGTGGATGGGATGGGATGGGCACTCACATCAAACCAAGAAGAAGTGCCGAGCGCCACCATCTCTCTCGTGCCCCTGTACCTTAGCTAGCTTAGCTCCCTAGACCCTGATGCTGGCTCGTTCGTTCCCAGGCCCAAGGCTCGCTTCGACGTCTGCAGCGGCGTATCGAGCAATGGGATGCGTTCCCGACTTGAAGAAAAGTGGAGGCCGCTGGGAGTCGGAGTGGAGACACCACATTCGATGCTTGGTTGACGAAGAAGAGGTCCGAGAGCGAGATGCCTGCCTGTTTTTCAGTGGGGGTATTGTAGGTTTTAAAATGCCAAAGGGGGGTTCGTCCCCCCACATCCCTCCGCCCGGATAGGCGATCAATGCCCTCTACTGCCTTAGTTGGGCCATAAAGTCAATGTTTGGTGCAAATATCCAGATGGGCGATCGACAGGAGAGAAATGACGTTTCCATGATGGCAGAATACTCTTTCAAAACCCAATTGCCGATCCTTCAGTTTCCATCTACCTCTAGTATACCTAATAGTGTAGTAGTGTAGTCAATGGACGACGGGCTAGAATATCTGACCTACCTTAATGTGTAACTTGAAAGTGCACGGTCAGGCCAGCAAGTACATAAAAACAATAGCGCGTGTTTCCGATGCCTGGGGGCATGGTGATGCCGTGATACTAACTGAACTAGGGCACAGTCTAGTGTTTTGTTTAGTTGTCGGAATGAGCCCGGGCCCGTTTAAAGCGGGGACCTTGGATGGGGCCACCGACCGACCATCCACGAACACGCGAGTTCGTTGCCCAGACTTGAAGCCACGAGTCCAATTCCACTTCCATTCTCCTCTGTTGAGATTTGAGAGAGAAAGTGGGTGTAGCGTGACCTCTTCAGACCAACCGAACCACTTGCTCGCCCACGGGTACCTTTGCCCGGCTCCATTTCCCTTCCCTTCTCTTCTCCACACAGTCGCGCTGCCCGACCGATTGTTACAGTCCCGGGCCCGTCGCTCCAACGGTCATTCGCGGCGTCCCCATATTTTTACTACCATGAGTTTTGGTTTCTCAGCGGCGTAATCAGAAATCCCCCCCAGGCCCAGCCAGGGCAGAGAGAGAGAGAGAGAGATATCCCAGGGGGGGGACCTACAGATGTAACCGTCTCGGTTGTAAAGGGGTGCGTTGCAACGGCCACTACTACCACCCACGCGCCATTCAGTGAGTCGCCTCTTTTTTTTTTCGTCTCTTCCTTCTTCCTTGCATTAAGGGGTCCCCGGTTGCAACACTACCTTACCTACAAACTCAAAGCAGAACGACGTCCATCATTTCTTTTGGGGTTTTCGCCTTGCTTGCTTGCACACCGCACACTCTTTTATCAATCTTCAAAACCCCGCCCGACGATGGATCAGATTTGACATTTTTGAAATCCATTTTTCAGATCCAAGAACGCCACACACACACTGTTCTCCTCTCTTCCCGTTCGCCCATGCTTCTTTGTGCTACGTATTGTTACCAGACAATATCGTGAAGAAGCAGCAGCAGCAGAACTCATCACACAATAAGAAAAAATGACAGTTCCCGTCAAGGGCCGAGGGCCACAAGTCGCCGGAGCTGCGGGGCTTTTCGTCGCACTCAGCACCGTCGCCGTCCTATTACGATGCTATTGTCGAGTCATTATCGTGAAACAATTCGGTCTCGATGACTGGTTGACCTTTATCTCATGGGTATGTTTACCTCGCTACCTACTTTTTCCCCCTCTCTCTCTCTCTCACACACACACAAAGCGCCACGCTTGATGCTAATTCGGGTCCAAATACCTAGTTCTTTTTCGTTTTCTATTGCACATTCTCCATTGCGGGCACACATCACGGCACAGGCCAACATGCCGTTGACCTTCCACCAAACGAGCTACCAATTGGGTTAAAGGTAAGCCTTCCATCATCCCGCTTGACGACAATTATGATGAACATGGCGTTAAACATTGGTCCCAACTTGTATAGTGGTGGTGGGCATGTGAACCCGTCTATGTCCTCGCCGGTCTCGCCTTGAAAGCCAGTATCGGCGTCCAACTCCTCCGTATCGCCGTCTCCAAGACCCACAAGCTCATCATCTGGATCACCGTCGGCACTCTGGAAATCGTTGGTGTCGCCTACTTCCTCGTCTTCGTCATGCAATGCATGCCCTCCGAATACTTCTGGACGCGCTTCACCGGCGGCACCGGGTCTTGCATGAACCCCCAAATCGTCGTCGACGCCACCTACGCCTACTCGGCCATCACCTGCGCCACTGACTGGATCCTGGGTCTCCTGCCCATCTCTCTCGTGTGGCACCTGCAGATGAACTCGCGCACGAAACTCATGGTTGCCGGCATTCTGTCCATCGGTGCAGTGTACGCCTCCCTCCCCCCTCCCCTCCCTCCCTCTTATTCTCCACATACTAACACCCAACCCACAGCGCCTCAACAGCAACCATCGTCCGCATCCCCTACGTCAAAGACCTCGGCAACCAAGCCGACTTCCTCTGGGCCACCTCCGACGTCGCCATCTGGTCCACCGCCGAAACCGGCATCGGCCTCGTCGCCTCCTCCCTCGCCACCTTGCGCCCTCTTCTCCGCCTCTTCCTGACCAAGTCCCAACTGGGCGAGAGCACCTCGGGCGGACTCGGCACTCAGCAATTCGGCGCCACCACCAACGCCAACGGGTACATCCGCAGCCGCACGCCCAAGAACGGCGCCGAGGAATTCGGTCTGCGCAACGACATTGGCAAGGGCCGCGGCGTCACGACGGTGGTGGAAGCCGGCGGCAGCGACGGGACGAAGCGCAGCATGTCGGGCAGCAGGGAGAGCGTGGGACCGCTGACGGCGGCGAATAATTGGAACACGAGCGAGACCAAGTTGACGGATATGAGCAGTGATGATGGGCATGGCAGTGGTGGACATGGCGGGAGCAGCGGGTGGCCGACGGGAACCAAGACGACGACAGTGACGCATGTTGTTGAGTCTTGAGGAAACTATCTGGTTGTCTGGTTGTCGTTGACGGAGAAAGGGGCCGGTTATTGTTGTTGTTGCTGTTGTGTCGGAAAGGAAAGGAAAAAGAGATGGACAGGACTGCGGGTTGAACACCACCACCACCACCAATCACCAATCACCTAATCGACTGAGTTTCGTGTTCTACGGCGACCCTCTCCGTCCCATCGTGTGCGGTCCATCGGTCCCTCCGCCCCCCACCAGTCATCGCCATCGTCAAAGCGAAAAGTCATCGTCGTCATCGTCGTCAAAGCGAGAGGCTTATACTTGGCATATTGTTTTTCTGTCTGTTCTGTTTTATATCCATACATCCATCTATCCTCATCATTATACCTACCTATTGGATAACTTCCTTTTTCTTGTACATATATCCACCCTCTCTTTCTCTTTTCTGCATCTTCTTCTTCTTGTTTTTGTTCTACAATACCTATGTCCATGGCGTTTTTAGAATCTACTCCGAAAGGGCGAGTGAGGTGTGTGTGTGTGTGGCCTATAAGTGTATGAAATTTGAAAGGTTTTAGCGTATCGGTATACCTAGAGGTAGTTCGACTTCTTTTTGGAAATTGGAATGGTGTTGGAAAGCGAAATGTTTACCTACCTCTAGCTAGAGGTACAAAACTGGATGGAAATCAAGTTTACCATCTAAACTGTCTTGGCCTGCTCTCGTGCACTATGTTGTGTATTCTTCAGTTCCGCGTGACCAAGGTACACCGAAAGGTATCGGGCTATTGGTTCGTGCTCTTGGGGATTGGGGAAGAGCTTGTTCCAGGCACCGTTCGTGCCGCCGGGGTACCTTTGCTAATCAAGTCATGGCGCAAGGAACTCGTACCAGTGGAGGGGCTAGGTTGTTCCTTGTCTACACAGTACACAGTCCAGAGGGGACACCGACCCCTCTTGACTCCAATGTTACGATTGTGGTTTTGGTGATGGCCAGTGTCATTCTGCCGCGAAGGACTCTTTATGTGAAGAGATGACCATAAGGGAGGACGAGAACAATCGCAAAGAAGTCCAGACATGCAGAAGCAAGCTTCAACTTTCTAGCTACACTACCTCTACACTACCTGCTATCCAGTCAAACAGATTCTACTCTACAGAAACAACCTCCTCCAAATATGCAAGACCAACGACCATGAAGACAACGACTTGCCCCGGGGTCTCCCCCGATCCTGCTGAGTCTATCCCCCCTCACCTCTTCAAACTTGATCCGGGTTGTCCAGTGTTGACTGAACAACCCGGCTATTGTCTTGAGCAAACCCAAACCCATGGTCGCGGCGAGATGGCCTCGCGGTACTCCTCCCCCTCTCCCCCTCTCCCCCTCTCCCCCTCTCCCCTTTCCCCACCCCCCACCACGGACGCTTAACTTCGCTCTCTTCACGGCGACGAAC